CCCCAAAACCCCAAAACCCCAAAACCCCTTACAATATATTATTAATTTTGAAAGTGTTTAAAGTTCAACTTCAAAGTTTTATCCACGTAAAACTATTTTTGCTTTGAATAAAACATTTAGATGGTGAGTTTATTCCATCTCCAGTTTGACATGGCGAAGCTCACTTCCAGCCAATACTTGCTTGATAAAGGCTTTTGTAAGCCAAGTCTCATTAATACAAAATGTTTTCAATGAAATCTTTAAATCTGATTTGGAAAGACTCTCAATGAAGTTGAAAAAACTTTCAGGTTTGTTCTCCCAATCACTAAGATAGCTTTTCGCACATCCATTGAGATATAGCTCCTTTATAGTAGTTCCTTTTAAGCCTGTATCTAGATCGATGACTTTGTCTAAACTGAGTTTGCAGCACGATAGGTCTAAACACTTAATGTGCTTGACCAGCATGAAAATTCTCTTCAGCTGGGTCCCACTGATTATAAAAGAATCAAAAGTTATGCTTTCCAAAATTCTGTGGGTAACTTTTGATATTTTCAGGAGTAATCTGCTTATATCTGTCAAATCTTGTGGGTACACAACCAACTTTCCGATTGAAGAGGGAAACCATTCTCTAAAGTTGTCGACTCTTTCATTTCTTCGGTTTAAAATTCAAATCCAAAACCAAGCTGTTTTTACAGGTGGAAATGCTAAATTCTGAATCTTCTTGATCATTCTGATATCAATATGATCGTGAATATTATATTTTATAACAGATTTTTTATTAAATAATGTTTTTCTTCGAGTGAAGATTCTATAAATATGACGCCAAATCTGCTTATTTATTATTGTTGATTGCCTTTGATGCTCAGTCGAAGGAATTCACTCCAATTTGTATCTTTCTTGAGCTTCAATACCTAGAAAAATTGTAGAACTTTGTATTTTCTGAGGAATTATGCTACAAATTATTTTATTCTTCACATGGATTCAAAAGTTTCAAGCTCTAGAGCTAAACCTTCTCTTTAATCAGATCTTTTAAGCAAGAAAATCTTGAAGTTAGTTGATGCATCATGTTAAAAGAGTTTTACTTGAATCTTCTCAGTACTTGGCATCTTCACAAGTCTTATGTTCATCAAACTCTGAACTCTGTTCAAAGAATTCACTCACAAATGTATTGAGATGCTCAATCTTAGTAAGCAAGGAAGAGTCTTGCTTAATCATGTTTTCTCCACCGATCTGGGAAACCTCCAACTTTACTTCAGAGAGCAACTCTTGCATCTGGGTTCTCTGAGGAGGCAAAATATTTTTGTCATTAGCAAGGAAGAATTTTTGAGCCTTCTTTAGAGCCTGTGTTATATTTTGTTGGATTTGAAACCCAGATTTATTGGCTCGCTGAGTTTGTAAATTATCCTTAACCCAATTTTGTTCTACAAGATGTTCTGTCTGAACCCGAGACTCATGAATGTTGGGGTTAGTAGAACTCTGTGTATCCTTTGACTCCATTACTTTAAAAATTATAATTTATGTTTTTAATTGTATAATTGGGGTTTTGGGGTTTTGGGGTTTTGGGG